GACTGGGACAGCAAGCATATTCGTGGCTGCGACTTTGTTAGGGCCTGATAGTTCCGAGCCCCATATTCTCTTAAGTCGCCACTTGTACTCACTGCGGAGAGTATCTGTGATGACAGACACGTCCTGCAAAGGAGATTGTGCCTGTCCAAGATATCGGTATGACTCTCCAGCATCCAGATGTTTTATGATGCTCCCGTCTGTAAGCTCGACATTATCACTCCAGTTCGGCGATCTTCCTTTTACTAAGTGGGCTACTGCGCACTTTTCTAACCCAAACTCTATGCCGATTGCACTGGTATACTCGGACACAACCTCTAGGGCTGCTCGGAGTCTCTCAGGACTTGCCGCGTACACTTTCAAGTCATCCATATGAAATAGATGTGTGACTTTGTGTACGCGGTTGGAGACTCGTCCGGCTTTATATCAAGGTGTTCGGCGTAGAGTGACAAATAATGGCAGCAGTGAGATGCAAAATAGGAGAGGACTCAGGGTATCTCCCTGGTATATGATACCTACTTTTTCCGAAAAAAGTAGATTCATTTTTTGAAATAATTTTACTCCGAAACGCGGAGGCAATAAAGATATATATGAAAATAATTTTTTAATAATTCAAATTATTTTTATCAATCAGTTTTTAGCCATAAAATTAAATCATGTACATCTTTACTACTATATGGAGTCAATGCTATTATATGTACATATATGTATATTATAATTAAATAATTAATTTAGAGTAAATTCTACTTGTTATATAAGTAAAATTAGTTAAAATTTGGAGTAGATTCTACTTCTTAAGAAGTAAAAATTACTCCATACTCTAATATGATAAATTATTTACCTAATTACAATTACTCAATAACAATGAATAATTATACAAATCTTTCGATCGAATACACTTACATATTTTTATTCGAAAATTTTTTGTCTCACTTTAAAAGATTATTGTACAATTGATTTTTCAATTTGTTTGACAACTTTATGACAATAGCCCACCGTGCAGTCTCTCATTTGAATTTTCCCAACACATATTATCGGTTTAGTTTACAGAGAGGAATATATGTTCTTATTATAAAGAGGGTTTCTTCGGAGTTTTCATGAGTTATAAATTCTCTAAAGTTCGAACTCGAAAGTTTTGTGACTAATTGCATGTGAGTTACCCTGCCCTCATCGTAGTTTGGTTCAGTGTAGTTCTATTGTCGTTGCACGGATTCATGAACGAGCACCAATAATTTTACTCAGTTTAGTTTCATAACAATTACTTATCGTAATTATCATACAAGTTTTATTACCTCCAAGTTCTTTATTAATAGCTATTTCGAATGCAAATTCAGCTTGTTATTCGGCGATTTTCGTAATGCAATTATCTTGATTAACTTCCTCAACACTTTGTTAAAATCAGTGAATAGCTTTAAAAAAAAGATAATGAAAAGTGTTTATATAAATGCACTAATTCGAACGAATACTAAACCATTAAAAATGTACTATTATAATACTTTCAATATAACACACATGGAAAAAAGTAAAGGATCAAAGATCCGAGTCATAAAGACAAGATAAGGGAGTAAAAATGATTGGCGGGTACAATAAAATTTACTTTACTTTTCTAATAAACAAATTTTTGCCATATAACTGTAAATTGTATAATTGTAAAAGGTGAATTGCATTACATTTATATACAATTTTAGTTCATGTAAATTGATAGTTGTGCATTCAAATATTTCTAAATTTGTTGTGGTAACATTTATTGGTGATAAAATAATAATGACGCTAAAAAAATTTTACGCTTATTTGAATAATATGAGAAAAATGTTGATCGCAAAATATACCAATAAAAGTACAGATCGAATTGAGTTATCGAGACATCAGATTTACTTTACAGCAAGTTATGTTCATTTTCCAATATTTAAGAATCTATACGTCAATAATAAACTCTTTGAATTACATGTCAGACCAAACGAATGTCTTTAATGTAAAGTTTAATTTCAACTCATTGAAGTAATAAAACCGAATATTATTTTACTATTTTTTGTAAAAAGTTTAAAACTTTATAATAATATCAATAATTCTTCAAAGACTATTATAATCTACTATATTTTTAGTAAGATCTACATTTTTATTTTCACTTGCTAAGGAAAGTGTTATGAGCTCGGTTGTTTTTTTTCGTGTAATATAGTTTTTAGAAAATACTTGATTGAATGTAATCAAAGATACAAATATGCGCTTTTATTACGATAAATATGAAAAAACTCTCTAATGTACACTGAAAAAAAAAATAATGGGAGATTAGAAAAAAATATAATAATATTACAGTATAATAACTAAATAATTGAGTAAAGCATACAATTTGATACAAGGTTGTTTTTAATACAACTGAAGTTCATTCGGCTCATTCAGTACAAATAAAGTTTGATTAAATTTAAGCAGACTGATTTAATCGAAATTATATCAATTCGATTAAATTAGTCGTTGCAGACTTTTACCAATCTTATACCAGACTTTCACCATAATAAAAAGCATGTCGTTCTTATAAGTTTTTTAACCTCTACATGACTTTTCCCATAAAGCTCATTAGACTCAATGTTAAGTTTGAATCTGTCATAGATGATTGTGTTACAAGTCTTTGAATTCACTAATAACCTTGATAAGCACTTTTGTGAGTATGCTGATATCACCCTTATTATCTCACGTGTAGTTTGTTACGCCGTGACTACCTCACACCATACGTGTATTTAAATTTTTGCTGACCGTAATATTATTACGCCTGTGTCTCGACACTCAGGGCAACTCTCTTACTTATTTTCCTCAAGCGCAGTAACACATTAGTAGCACTACTTTTGTATTTTGATATTTTTTCATTTTTTTATTCAGGCAGTCGACAGAAAACTATCATTGAAGTAGAAACAGAAATAAATAAAGTTTTCTCGATTCATGTGAAGAATAAGAATCAGAATATTGTCAATAAGTTTAGAATATTCAGTAATAAATAGAAGTGATTAATTAACTGTACTGTTCTTAACTATAATTTTAGTGCTAAACATTTAAGTGTAATTAATATTAAAAGTGACAATAAATTTGTGATCACTTAAAATAAATTTTTGTGTATTTAAATTGACTGAAATCCTGAAATTTATCCACGGCATAACAAGTTACACTCTAGCTTCAACTATACAACAAGAATAATAGTCGAGTCAATTTAGACATTGACTACATTGCATGGAATAAATTTTATCAATCAATGGATTATTTTGAATGGGTATAACTTTTGTATAATATAAAATGAATCGTAAATGAGTTTAACCTTGAATGCGTTTTACATCTGTAGAAGCTTCTAAAAATTAGATATTAATTACTTTGGTATTCATTATGAATGAGGGTTTCAATCCCACCAACTGATTAGACGATTAGACGGTTTAAATATTATTTATCAACTGAAATTGTACATTCTGCTGATTTAATTGCTGTTAATTGAAAGTATTATAATTTTTTAAAATTCGTTATTTTGCTTTTTTTATAATAAAATTGTTTTAAATACAAGACGTCAAAGATCACTCTAAATTTAAATTAATGAATTGTTCAATCATTTTTCACCATTAATGATCCCTGTGCTCCTACCGTGTGTATTGGCTGTAAAGGTAGGACAAAACAGAGAACTCCATGCATATGTCTTTTACTACAATTCATTTAATAAAGTAATTGTGCATTTTAACATTAGATTACCATAAGAATTATTTTTATTAATCGATGATTATTTCATATCCTTAGTGTCTTACATTCAATAATACACGTTTAACAAACTAGTAGTTTATTAAGCTAGTAGTTTATAATTCATTAAATAGATTATTGTAATAATAAGTAATTATTTATTTGAACCTACAATAATTACATATTTACTTGATATGAAAATTTCTTTTTTCAGTGTTGACTTAGGCTAGTAATTATTTATTTTTCAATATATCTGTGGGTTGGCTAATGAAAGACACACCGTGCTCCCAAAATAAACAAATATACTATCCTGAAGATCGGAATATAATTCTACCTTTTTTCTCTCCCGAAATATTATAACCTGTAATTAATGTTTATATTTTCTATTGTCTTTTAGAACAAATCATAAATTGTGATTCTCTAGAAGTATATCTGTAAAAAATAGTATACATCCACTGATTTTCAGTTATATAACCATAACTGATTGAATTAGTGCTATTATTATCGCTCCAAATAGTAAATATTTACTGATTCATTTTTAGAGATTATGATGTTAAATAAATTTATTGACTTTCGCCTTGTAAGTCTTGTAATTTGTTACGTTTTTATAGTTTTTTACTTTTTTTTTATTGAATGTTATTAGCTGGTTTATAAAGAAAAGATTGGTATAAAAATCACTTTAAAAAAAGTATTTTTTATAACATTTTCATTTTATCCTATGAATTATAGTTCAATTTTTAGAAGAAATAGTCTTCGTGTAAAAAAATATATATTCTCGAAATTCATAGTCTAATTTTTTTTCCACATGTTTCATGACATGTACGAAATCAGAGAAAATTCATGACCCTTTCTCCTTGTTGCTTGATTAACCTTGTGTACTGTCTCTTAGCAATTCCGGAGAGCTAGGCCCCTTTATAAGTGCTTTGGCGGGTGCTTTGTTTAAAGCTACTCCCGAAATTACTCAAACTAAGTCTTAATTATTTTACCTGGAGGTTAGTAAGGATGTAAAGTTCAGTATGCTTATGTCTGCATTGAGATAAGCGTCTTTAGAATGTATGTGTGTTGTATTTTAATAAAGTAACTTATTCAAATATTCTTGGGACATTTCAAAATACCTACTCTAAACTGAACAAATTTATCACGATATATAATCTTATTATGTAGCGACATATTTAACCATATTATCAAACATGTAAACAACCCTAAAAGCTATGAAAAGCTTATTTATTTAATGAATAAGTTTACTAAATACTGACAAATTTAAAGATTTGTAATGATCTATTTAATTGAATGTTTAGGTGGATACACCAGATAGTGTACTGCAGAGTGGACTTGGTTTGGGACCTGAAATGGGACATACAATTCTTAGATCAATGGTAGATCCTAGAGACTATGATAGACTCCGGTATTTGCAGATGAATGGTGGTCAGCCGAATAGCTTTGAAGAAACTATTCACAGAGTAAGTTAATACGGCAAATAACTTGCTGGTTTATTATTCACCAATTTTGTGAATTCAACTCATTCTTCCAGTTTACAACTGAATTAGTAAATTAAGAAGCATAAAAATTATATTAGTTTGAATATAAAATTATATGGAAAGAATTTTTTTTGCTAGAAACGAGCACAAAAAGTGACTAGTTAAATTTTTATGACGTAGAAGTTAAATTTTTTCATGACACAATTTACCTTAGCATAAAGAAAATATTTGATTGTGATCAATAAATGATTAAAACATTTCTTTGAGTACATTCTCTATTTATTAACAACTGAATATGCATATTCTTTCATTGTCCATCCTAAACATACTTGCAATTTATTTATTAGATATAGATGAAATTATCATATTTCACAAATTAAATGGAGCGATTAAAGTCCAATCATTTGAAATGATTCCATAATTAATGTCTAATTAAGTTAACTGCTAAAGAAACCGACGTGATTTGAGTTTAAAATAATTATGATAAATAACGAAAACAACTCATACCATCAATGCTCTGAAAAATATTGAATTAATAATTTCAACAAAATGTTTCCTTTCAATTTTCACAATTGTTATTTTATGTATCTCGAAAGTTTCACAATCTTTTCAAATACTCATGAAGTATAAATTTTACATTTCAGCTAAAAGTACAAGATGCACTAAAGAAGAAAGAACGCTTCCACAAAGAGCATGAAGAGGTGAGTTGTCTATTCAATAAACTAAAAATTGATATCCGTCAGAAAAATAACAAATCAAACATATCATTTATTTGCATCTGTCAAGCCCAATTCTCTATTTCCGTGGTGATTTATGATTGAAACGTAAAAAATGACATTTAAAATAAAAAAATTGTAGTAAATTTTACCGTAAAAATATCTATCAAAATTCATGTTGCGTAGTAAATAATGAAACTCGTAAAACCACACCAAGCACGTATTACAGAAAGTCACAGTGTAAATCATAGAAATTGTTGCAATTACAAGGGTGTTTTCTATGATAGTTTCAATAAATTATGTATTATGCCATCATGAACGAATAAGCTTTATCATTTTAGAGTTAAATTTATTATCAGATTATCTGTTGACTGTTTTTTGGTTTAAAAAATTAAGTTTTTTAGAATTTTTATTCGTAACATCAATTTACTTTACTAATTTTAAGCTTTTCTCATCATGTCAGACTTTGTTAAATGTTCTTCGCATATACAAATAAAGTAGTTTGTTCACACAAACAACGATCAAAAATAATGTAACAATGTTCTTTATCAGTATGAAACGTTTAGTAGAAATTAAAATCAAAAACCTACTTTATGTAAATAGAGAGAAATGAGAGAAAATGTAGTTCTATGTGCTCTTGTTAAAAAAATTCAAAAATCGTTTTCAACTTAAATAGTCATATTAATTTTACAGGTTCTCTCAGTTATATTGTTAAAAAATAGAATCATGGTAAACACTTCCTTATTATTCATATTATTCGGCCTAGAAAAATTAAAATATACCCTTCCGAGTGCTTGTATTTTTTAACTATCATTTTTTTATGTATTAATGGTAATCAAGATACTTATAAGTAATCACTAGTCTCTGAGACATGTCCAGTGATGTAAATGTTAAAGTTCGGATTTAGAAAGTAGGTTCTAAGAGTATTGGAAGTGCTGAGAAGTAGAAACAAACATAGTAGTCAGGCATAAGGCCAAGTTTCATGAAATCCCAAGTTACATCACACATGGCCAGAGATGATTCCTTTAGCCTTGACTCATGGGATAGGAACTACTGGTCAAAGGTTTTAAGAGCAGAACAGTATAGATTCTGAAGAAGATCATCTAGGATTACCAACAAGAGTTTACTTTTCTAAAGGGAGAGATTGAAAAGTTCGTATGCGTAACCTACTGTAAGCACAGACCAAGTCTGGAAAGACTTTAAAACCTAATTCTGTTAGAGTTCATCATTTTCTGATTTTCTTTTAAATAAATTTTTTATCAACATTTTCTGTAACTAAAGTTGTGATTGAATTGGTCGAGTGAAATATAGTGTGGATGCAACCCTAAAAATCTACATAATCAACTTCGCCATAATACTGAAAATATTGAAAAAATATTCTTCACTAAATGAACGATATCTATAACTTGATAATATAAACAAAATTCAAACAGTATGTAATTCCGGAGAAAGTTATTTATACGAGCTTGCAGATAATCATATGACTTTAAAATCTAAGAATATGACGAACATTTTCTTTTGGATTTTGAATCAATTTCATCTGTAAGTTAATCATCTATCCTATTCTTATATTATTATCACAAAGTTCACAAACAGTCCACTACGAAACTCTTTTATATTTGATAAGTTCCGAATGTTGAGAATATCTGAACTAAAAAAAAATTGTTTCTTATAAACAGAGGTAGGAAGTATTTTGAATCAATTAATTTTTGTTTACATGAAGAGGCTAATTTTTTTTCACAAATATAACTTTATTATGATAAAATACTAACCATTTAAAGGCTATTTATTTTTATATAAAAATCTACGTAATTCGCATTATATACTGTTATTTCATCTCTCATTTACTCTAATATTCTTTTTTTTTTCGTTCTGTCGCTTCTACTTTAGACCTATGAAAGCCTTCGGCAAACATGTTTGTTCCCCTCACAAGTTTGACTGTACCTTAATCGCCATGTTTCGTTGCTTGCTCTGCTATCCTTAGATGTCCCTTCGGGCTATCGCGCAAACTTCGATAATTACTTTTGGAGCCTTTTCAGAATTAAACACTACTTTATTTATCGTACGAAAAATAAGAAAAAAAAAATCGGAATATAATTTTATACGATGACTTAATATTATTTATTTATTACACTGACAAAAATAAAAATTGAATTAACTTTAATACCATAAGTATCCTTTAAATGTTTCATAGTTGAGTTTGCAGGCAGACAACTACATGTATATCAATAAATATTAGTTAAAACTCGAGAATGTGCTTAAATAAGAAGCTAATATCTGAAGAAGAAATGACACAATAAATCCTTTTGTAAAATTTTTAGAGTATTTTAGTTCATCTGTCACGTTAAAAATAATCCTGAAATACGTTCATCAAATCAGTAATTGAATTGTCACTGATAATCAGTGAAACTTACATTTCGTTATCTTTAAATTTTAAAAACATTTTTCATACAATTTGTACCTGTTTGATAAATGTGGTAATTCTTTTTTAGCGCTGGAAATTTTTTCCTCCAATGAAATTTACTGGTTTTCCACAAAATAGTTATCTATTTTAGTTAAATACCAAGCATTTTTAATTCCATTTTAACGGAATTATATAAATATAGCATTTAAATCTTAACAATTTTTTCTATTACATAATCGAACTCTTTTAACATTTATTTATAAAGAATATGCAAATAAATTTTTTAGGAAAGTCATAAATTTTTTTCTGATTCTTCAAGTCTAGAGAAATCCATGAGAATTATCTTTATTGATTGAGCCTGAATAATCCTGCAAATTTGTAATTCATGAAAAAGAGTTAATACTAATACTCATATTTACATAATGACAAAAAAAAATTTATCATTTAAATTTAATAACTATTTCTTATAACATCGTGAATTAAAATTGCACATTTACATGTCATGTTTCAGATTTTACGTGATATACGACAAGGTTTGATGCAGTTGGGTCGTGACAGTCGAAGTCAGCTTCCTGGAGGTCTGTAAATTCGTATCTCATGCACTAGAGATCAATTTTATACAATACAGTCACGTTAAATACGATATTTCAATGATTTATTTATTGAATCAAACTTTTTTTTCAAGAACTCACAATTATCATATATTTATCAAAAAGTCTTTGAATTGTATCCCAAAATTAGGCTAGAATTTCAAGTCTCGTATGAAATAAATAAATTTTTAGGAGATCAAATACATTACAAGACAATTATACATTAATGTCATAATATATCTCAGATGTTTTTTTTTCTTAAAAATAAATCATATGCAAATTATTTTCCATTTTTTTTTAGATTTTATATCTTTACACGCTAAACAGAGAAAACGCTGGAATTTGTAAATTACTTATTTGGTATGGTGCTACTGACGGATTTGACAAGCCCACGTTTCGAAATTTATAAGTAAAAATATTTCCATTCAATAGTAAATTTTGAGTTCTTGTAAGTAAACTTGTGACTTGAAAGGTGTCTTAGTAAAAGAATTACTTACGACAACCCAAAATTTACTGTTGAACAGAAATATTTTTACTTATAAATTTCGAAACGTAGGCTTGTCATTTTTGCACTTACATTTAGTGAAAAAATTCTCTCTGTGTAGAGGTTTTGTATTCATTTTATACACAGTGTACTTTAGAATGTATAATAGCTCTAGTAACCAGCCTTGATGTAAAAATTACCGTCAGACTTACGCAGGTCTGTTTTCATTCCGTATCAGATTGCCATTTACTTACGTTAAATTTGATGACGATATCCCTACATTTATCTGTGGTAAAAAACGGCAGAAACATACATAAATGACCATCGTATGATAAAATATCCAGATCTGACGGCAGTCTTACGTTAGTTTGGTTACTAGGGCTATTGTACTTTCATTAATTATTTCAAATTGCACATTCTATACGATAATTATTCGATATGAATATAGACTTTATTTGATAGAATACATAACAATTTTTTAAGGAAAACATGTTTTTGTGATGCAGCTTCTAATTTACTAAAATTTATAATATTGTAAAATGTATTGAATAACATGACCTATGCTACTTTGTCACGTTATACTGAATGACATGTGTATTGTACTGTTTTCTCAGAGATTGAAAAGTGCATTATATTTTTAGACATATGGATATTTTATTTCGAGATATTGAATATGATCAAGTAACATACAACTACTCATATACACTTTATCAAACCATTAAAAACAAATTACACGTTTACGTGTGTAGCAGTAACACGTGTTGGTTGGTTGAAAAATGCAATACAATTTGATTATAGAAAACCGTATCTGTAGAATTTATTTACGCGTTTGTACTAGTTTTTCTACGTGTTGAAGGAAATAAACAAAAGAAAATCGTAAAAAATAAGCATAGAAAAAAGTTATCGGACGGGAAGCTCTTCGTACGTAATTTCGTTACTGTAAACACCCGTCAAGTTCCACTCTTCGTCTTTTTATCTTTTTTCCTGTCTTTGGTAAAACTTTCATCATAGAAAACATTAAATATATTTTTTTCGTAAGCTTTTTCACATTTGACCTTGTATTGAATATTTGGTTTTTTTTACGTAGATGATACTTATATGTACGATGAAGACGCAAGATGTGGCATAACATGTGTGGGACAACATTGGTATGATGAACCTCCGTATGAATCTGATCCTGAAGATTTTCTAATGGGTGCTAGTGGTGGACCAGTTCCTACTGCTACAATTCAAAATGAAAGGTGAGTATAAACATTATATCGTTTATAAAACTAAAAATTGATAAAAAAGTAAATACTATTTATTATTTATTTAACCATACAATGCATTTTTTTTTAGTTTGAAAAAAATATATGTGATTTCACTTAAGATCTAGATTGTTTTCAAAAATATTAGTCTACACTTAAACAATTTTTCGTGAAAAATTACCCTTAACTTCGGGTTAACCGCGTGGTACCTCAGAATCTTAGCAATTTTACGAACTACACGTATGAATTATTACAAAACCATCTGGGTAAATTTTACCAAGCACGTTTAGTAAAATTTTTCCAACAAAAAAAAACCTTCAGTCTTACAAATAAATGAAAAAGATGTTCTTTCATTCATTATGAAAAAAATTGACAACGCCTAGTTAAATAAATGCCAACCACATATGCCTACTATTCGGATAACTATAAATGAACATGTAAGCGCAGTCTTGTTGATACTCGGAAAAATTCTATACAGCAATAAAACTGAGCTTAACTCCCATAACTGACACGAAAAATTATTCTCCTTCTATTTAAAAGTATGCACTCTTTGGATACATTTAAGGTCCGTGCATATTTAAGTTTAGTATTTTCTTAAACTTCTTTGAGGACGATCAAGTTGGTCAAAAATATTTCACGATCTATGACAAGCCGTCTAAATATCTGTCGTACAATTGCGCTAAACATAAATTAATATTGAATTATCAGATGTTAGAATGTACAGAAGTTTCAGACTTGTTTTATGAGCAAGACAAAGCAGAGTTATGTGCAATGATAAATATTTCAAATATTATGTTTTTCGAAGATTTACTACCTAGCTATTTAATTACAATACAACAATTGTTAACAGTAAAAACAAAACATTTTGAAAGTAATGATATTAAAATAGGTGACATTATAATATTCCATTTAGAAGATGGGTCTGAATTTTACATTGTTCATTTAATAATAATCGATAAACACGATTTTTTTATAATAGGAAAGATGTTGAACGATGTAGGTTTAAATTTGCATCTACAGTCATATAAAATTTTATTTCCATCATTTTCACGGATTTTAAAAATAGTAAAGATTTACATGGTTGTATTATAAGCTACATTGTATGCGCCTCAAATAGTTATAAATATATTGTAAGTAGATAAGCTTATGTATTATGTTTGACAAATTATTATACTTTATGTAAATCTCTAAATAATAAAGCCATTAAAATCTACTTAGATGTTTATCTAGTCAAAATAATATCCATTTATTTCATTAAATACTTGTAAAGTTTAAATAATTTTCTAACACACATAAGATATGTAAAAAAATTTTTTACAGTAGAAAATTTCACCGACAATAACAGTAAAAAATATCCCTAAAATCCGTTAAAATTAAAAAAAAAACATTGAGGTAAAATTTACCATGAGTTGCTTAGTAAAATTTACTCGAAAACTGACAGTAAAGTAGCTTTACCAAACTGGTTGGTAAATTTTACCCACACATTATGGTTAATTTTTCAAGAAAAATTTTCTCAGTGTATAAAATAATAGTATTACTCTATAATCTTAGTTTCAATTATGTTAGTTCATATCATACAAGTTTAGAGCTGTTTTTAATAATATTCGTCGTATCATATATGTCACTGAATGCATTGTAGGGTTAAAAATGTTTCGAAAATCTAAAAGCTTTACAAAAATATAATATTTTCCTAAACATCTAAAAATTTATATTTTCCGACTGAACGCCCTGAAAAATTTATTTTTGCCGCTGAACATCCTGACAAAAATGTTTAATACAGTTATTTAATTACTGTCAAGTAAATAGGGGGTCAGTGTTTTTAATCCACTAAATGATGACATAAAAGAAATTTCCAAAATGTCAATAGTTTTTTTTTTTTTTTCAAATGATTATATCTCGAAAACGGTAAGAGATAGAGCAAAAACAAATTTTCAAATTGTCTAATTAATGATGGTTACTTCCACTGAGTGTTAAATTTTAAAATAAATCATTCAATAATAAAAATATCCGTTTATACATAATATTTGTAAAGATTTTCTAGTTAAATTTCAAGTAGAAAACTGTTGAGATATTTTTTTTTGAATTTTTCTTTTACATTTCGAGGATAGAAAAAAAGATTGACTTTGGACGAATGTTCTCCAAAGATGATGTAAGAAAGAAGTGTTGAAAAAAAATTTAAACAAATTATAAAAAACTTTTTTTCTTATTATAACAAAAAGAAGCCAGCAATGAGAACTTTTGTGCGTCGTTATCGCTGTTTAAATTATTTTCTATTTTTTTTTCATTTATAAATCGAATTAATATAAACAAATTTTTCTTTTCTTAAAATTTTTCAATTTTTTTTTTCATTTCGAAAATTTATGTAGATATATATAAGATATATTCTGTAAGTATCTTAAATATATCTTTTTTATCACTGGGATATAAACGGGATATATTCTGGATATATAAAAATTGGCCAAAAGTATAATATCCCAAATATATCCCGGATGTATCCCGCGTACATTTTTTTTGTATCTGGATATGTCTTGGATATATTTTGGATATCTCCCAGATACATTATGGATACATTGGATTTCCGTGTGGATCAGTATATTTTATGTGAAACTTTAAAAATTAACTTTTAAGATGTTTTTAAAAAAAATATATTTTAATAAATTTAAAATTTTTCATATTTTCGTGTTTTTTTCGGATTATTCTATTCTTTATTTACAACTATCTTCTTATTATAAATTTTTCTGTTGAGATTTTCACGTCGTTTATTTAAACATCGATTTTTTAGTGAAAAATCGATTGGTTGTACATACAATCAATTTAAAAACCTCAATGCTTTTTTCAACATCGCCCGACCCTATAATGGACCAATTTTTACGAACGCACAAAATCAGCACATGAACGATAGTTATCTCAAAGGAACAGTACGAAGATTTTTAACTTGTTATGGTACATTTGTATAAAAGAAACATCATAAAAATTATATAACACTGATATAACAACGTAACATTTTCGTTATAATGCATAAAAGTAACTACTGTTATATTACTTTGTTACGCTCACGTTATATAACAGTTATATTACATACACATAACTAACATTAATATAACATGTTATGTGTATGTTATATAACAGCAAGGTTTGGTGTTTACTAGGTAGGAATAATAGAGCGAGAACCCGCTGCAAAATCTTAGGCCTATCGAGTTATCGCATGAAATATTTTTTATTGTGAAGTACTCACTACTTTATTTTTTAAAATTAAAAGGCTGTCATCTTAAGTGGTGCACAAAATTTGTATGATTTTTTACATCTTCTAATATAAGTACCGTAATCATACCGGAGGAGTTACCACTTCAAAGTAGCCTTAAAATTTACTTGTTACTCTGTAAAATAAAATTATCATTTAGTGCTTTGATTTTTATGGGACGATCATCTTGGCAAGACATTTTTTAAGTCTCTTTTTTTGACAGAAAATGTACTTATCGAGTTACTGCTTCAAACTGGGCTTAAATTATAATTCAAACAGTCTTTTATTAAAAAATATTTAGTGCCAGGTTGATTTTAGGTCTAAACCTGTGGCAGCAAACGTTGAACACAGGTAACTGCCTACTAATTGGTATTACTATTACAAATCTGTATTTCCTACACATCGATTTATGGATCGGTGATATAAGTGTGATTTCAATGAAATTATAAGCAAAACTTTGGTAAATTTTTTTTCTTTAAGTCTATTATGTTTATAGTAAGTATGTTAAAATGAAATCTTTGTAAAATAGTAAACTATTAGTAGACGTCAGAATAAAATTAAAAAAATAAAAATATAATTAAATATAATATTTTAAAACATGTATATGATTATTATGAATTATTGCAAAATTTATTATTTGACAACTCGTGACTATACTCTAGTAACCAGCCCTGATTTAAGAGTTTTCGTCCAACTTACGTACGTCTGTTCCAGATCTGCATTAGATTGCCATTCACTCAAGAGCAATTGCTTACGTTAAATTTTCTGATGACAATCTTACGTCGATCTACTTAAAATAGAAACGGTAGATGCATACGTAAATGACTAACGCAGTATAGGACAAAATTTTTAAACTGATGGCAGTCTTACGTTGGTTTGGCTACTAGGGTAGACTGGAAATATTATTTATAGATTGAAAATATACCATACTACGTTTTGATTAGGAACTGATCAAAAAGTCATATTAAGGGATATACGATTCGAATCTGATCATACTTTAGAAAACATGAACTAATTTTTAGTTGAGGTGTTATTTGGTTATTGTTATGGAATATTGCAGTAACTACTTACATAGTACTACATACTATATTACGTGATAGAAAGTTATAATAACTTTTTAGTATATTTATATCAAATTAATTTATCAGACGTCACCTCATAACAGAATTTAACAATTAAAACATAATTTTCTTCTCAGGGTGTGCTTTACGCTAAACGTTCGACCTGAAAATCGTGGTGAAGGCGTAATATCCTTACGAACAGCAGGAGACATCAGTTTGCCTCGAGATCGTTCACGGAAAGCAGCGACATCTATGATGAGAGGTCTCATTGTACCTCAAGGTCACAATAATCCTCCAACTATAATCCCACTGACGCACTCGAGAGCTTCCCGAGAAAGTGGCGACTATGCTAGCAGTGATGTTCAGGTTGGTTATTATAACATGACGAAGCATTAATGTTCATTAGCTTAAAGTATTATCGCGAATTTATGTATGGATAAATTTACCGAAATGACAAAAGTCAACTGGCATTAAGGAATGTGAAAATACTGGGAATGAAATAGAATGACCATCATGATGGCAATGTGATTCCCGTGACACTTTGATGCAAACTATAGACGTGAATAACCTATTCATCGACATGGAACGCTGTCAATTTGCCACCGGTCCATATCCAATGAGAGTATATGTAGAAAGAAAGGGCGTTTCAACCATCTGGAATCTGATGCAAATTTTGCATACTCTCTAGAGCATATTCCTCGTATACCTTTTCCTCTTGCATTTTACATTCGTGTTGCTTGTATTGCATTGATATGAGAATTTTAAACCTTCATCCACAAACTGGGAGCTTTCGAGTACTGATCTCTCATCAATTTCGAACTACATCGAAATTGCAATTTCAATTATATGTACTTTAGATATTGATATAGATGGAAATGTTTTTTTGGAAAGAAATGTTTTTAGAATAAACTCTTTTTTTATTATAATGTAAAACTTTTGCACCAATTAATCGTTCGCAATAATTCTATTATTCGATACTAAAAATTTTCGAAGCTTAACTTAATATTGGAATGAGTATATTAACTATATTAAAATCTTTAACTTAAAAATTGTTAGAATACCTTTTGATTGACAAATAAAATTTTCTAAGCATTGTAACTTTATTCAAGTTTATGTACGGATAATATTTTTTTTTAATTGAATCAATCATATGATGTCACATGTATCTGAATAAAATTAAATAGATATTTGTTTAGATCCGTAATTTCCTGTAATTATGGGACGGAGTGTTGTAACACTAGATAACAGTTTAATAGGTATCACAATTTACCTGGCGTACTTTTTTCATAATTATTTTAATTCCAAATTCATGTACATATTTATTTTTTTGCGTTTTTACAAAATATGTTAACAAGACATGTTGAGTTTTCATTAAAAATTTTTTTATAATTCAATTGCAAAAAATGTCTAAAAATGGTAATTAAATTAATCATCATTACCATCCATCAAATTGATTCATATTTTCTTCATGGTCATAACTAAGTAACATGACACGACACGTTCGTGTTCTGCCTCGGTAATACATTACCACAATTCTCTGAACAATGAATGGTGATTTATTTAATTTGGGGAATGCAGAGTGTGAGTTCGAGACTGTCGACTATGTTAGTGGACACAGGCGAGAGTGAACAACTTTCAGTGGGTGGCCATCCAGGCCACTATCGCCGACACCACCATCGTTACCAATACAGCAACCACTACTTTCGCCACTTGGCATCACCCCGATCTAATCAACGTCATCCTGTCACAACTACTAGTAGTACGAGCTCTATCACCACTACCAACACCATGATCACAGCCCTGTCATCAAAATCCATTCCAAGACGACTTAAACCCGGATATGTTCGTATTTGTCTGGATTTGTAAATTCTGCATATGTATTTCTGTCTCTCGCACACATTTTAGCAGCCGCAGGATTCGTACTAACCTACTTATCCGAAACCCGAACAAATATCAACATCTCGAGGAAGAGATAGTGATTGAAGTTTCCCTAAATCCCGTCACGAATATGAATTCACTGATTCTATACGAAGGGATAGAATGATTTTAAGGAGTTGAATCTACATTCGCCTCTTCTCCTACGATCATTCTTCTAAACTAGACAAACATGTTCTCTTGATTGCTAGTTTTCGTATCAAAAGAAATTGTTACCACTGATCAATTGCTCGAGTTTCGGTAAAAGCTTTTAAAAGGGTTTAAATATAGTGCTTTTGCACAACAATAATAGTGTTATTGCGTTCATTCGCACGTCTTAAGGAAAATAGATGATGAAAAACTATGACAATCATTCGTATATGTAGACTGTCAAATTAATAAATATTTCGAACTAAATGAAAATTATTGTTAAAACGAATTGTAAATAAAATGATTTCTTTGAAAAAAAATTCGATAAGGTTTTCTGTATTACAATGTTTAAATTTATTTATGCGAATATAGTTACAATATTTGGAGAACAAAATTAGTTGTTTCAAAATATTAGAAAAGAAAAAAAAACTAAATAGAATTTGCATAATTTATTAGTTTGAAAATCTGAAAGAAATGAGTAAAATATATAGCACATTAGTACTAACAACGGAATTCTTGTCACCATGAGCTTTATTTATTAATAGGACAGTTTACACTTATTTTCAACAATAATACTCGCTATATATTTTACTTTTTTTATCTTATTATTATATTTAATAACTCTAATAATTTTTCTAATTCCCTTTACACATTATTTTATTAAATTAATTTAATTTTCTGCATGAACGGAGAATCTGTTTAAATTTTCAATTCGTTTCTCATTTGACAATCGAAAGTACTATTCGTTCATTTTCCTTTGAAATTCGCTCGATAAAAACTCGCCCTAGCTACGAGACAGACTAGAATGATGATGCTTAATCTAAAAATCATCAGCGTTTTCAATTAAATCAAATACCTTACATATTTTTTAAATTTTGCCTGCTTTTTTTCTATTATTCCTATTGTTTCTATAGTTGGGTTAGTTCTATTTTGGAGTATAATCGATTCTAGAGTCGAAGCAGTGGTGAAGAAGGTCTATCACCAAGCCAAAGCAGTGACTACGAAGACCAAGAAGAAATGGAGAATCAACACTCTGCAGCTGTCCACACAGTATGTCTCCCTAATGCTGCTTTCTACCGTGGGTAGTCTTATCTGTAGATGCATGATTATTGTTTCGATGCACGGAATTGAATGAGTGAATATATGATAAATTTATGAAAATGCAGCTGAAACCATTTTCGACTATATCGTTATCTGTTTTGCACTAATTATATCCTCTAAATGATAATCTTAAATGTTATGTGTAAATATTTACACTTGATATAATTTATGCGTGAAAAATTCACAAACAAGTTGACCTTCATATGATATCCAAGAGTTGCATGTCAGCACTCAATTACTTCAATTTGTGTGTTAGTACACATGTATTCATCATTTTGCTTTTTAAAGATATTTAATTTAAATTATCAGTTTAATTTCTAATTATAATTATCTAATACTTACAGTCAGAGGCTAGCGCATTATTGGAAAGCAATGACGCGCGGACAGGAATTGCAGGAAGAGCTAGAAATTTGAGGCATGATGTTCAAAGGAAAATCACAAGGCTGAAACAAGATAGAGCTTCCTCAGAAGCTTTCCCTTGCAGCGCCAGCAGTGTTGAAAGTCTACCTAGTGGAAGTGGTTCTAGCACTCAAGCTTTAGTGAGGGCCGGCAGTAATCACAGTTCAATATCCTGCGAAGACAGAGATACCGTTAGTCCGACAGCTATTGGTCCTGTACTTTGTCGAGCACGTGCACTTGTGGATTATACTCCCAGTCCTTATGACAAAGACGCCCTTAAATTTAAGGTATTTTAAGAATATTTATTTGCTATTGAATGTATTCAATTTAAAAGTAAAGTGACTAATAAATGAAATAAATTGTTCGCAGAAAGGTGATGTTATCGATGTTGTTCAAATGAACACAAGTGGTTTATGGAAGGGTGTACTGCACAATCGAATTGGCCACTTCAAGTTTATAAACGTGGAGATATTGAACGAACGAGTGCCACGTCGTGGTGAGCCTGAACGACCAAAGTGGAGCCAGAGGTACAGGCAGAAACCAGGCTCAGTTCAAGAGCTTTTACAGAGAATGAATCTTCAGGTGGGAAGTAATATCATACCTTGACTTGGGTAATTTACATTTGCATCACTTCGAATGCAAAGTAGGATTTAGTATACCGCAATTTGTCGCTCTTTGCATCTCATATTTTTTTATTTGAATCTTTTATTATCCTCTTGTATCCTCTCTTCCGTTTGAGAAATATCTTCAATATTCCGTCCACTTCAAAGAATTTGCTATGAATAATATCAAAAAAGGTTAAATGAGAAATTTAATCTCTATTGCAAAATTAATGAAAAACATTTTTATACTGTTTCAATATCTCTGTATGTATGCTTATAGGAACATATACCGGTGTTTGTTTTGAATGGTTATGAAGATCTCGAACTCTTCAGGGAAATAGAGCCAGCAGACCTTGACTATCTACGCATTCATCAGCCCGAACATAGAGCAAAAATACTTACAGCCGTACAGCTGCTACATGATCTACAGTGTGAGTGTCAAATAACACTTTCAACTAGTACACTCACAAAAATTATAAAATTTATTTCAACACAATATTATTTATAAATCAATAATTTAAATATTTGGAATTACCATTATATATATTCATTTTTTTTTACTAAATCAACTGTTAACATATATATTATACATACATATTTTTGAATAAAATATTTTTCGTTTAAGAATTTTATACTCAAACGGTAAACATATTTTTTATTACAAAAGAATCAATAATTACATACATCTAAGCTATAAGATAAATACACTTAAAAAAGAATTTCATTAATATCGACGAATTAAATAATTACTCATTTAATCTTTAATTTAGCTGGAAGCGAGGGTGACTTGGCATCTAGTTCAGAAGGCGATGAAATCAACCGTATAGCAATATCATCTGGTCAAACTTCAGGACACTGTTCTCCATTTAGTAGACGACAATTTCCACGTGATTCTGGTTGTTACGATGCTCACAAAAATTCGTCAAGAAGAACTGTAAGCCCAGAAACAACCAAGCTGACGCGCGAAAACAACCTCAGTTCATCAATGTCGGTTAGCAAGTGCACTGAAACAAATGTTCTGTCTGAGGTTGGATCTAAAGATGATTATCATCCCAATATACCTATCTCAAGTGCAATACAAAAGGAAGGTTTATTCGAAAAGTCACCACAGCTGCGCAACACTAGTGGCAATGTTAGATTTATAGCCAAAAGAGGCAACTTGAGTGAAACTGTCGTAATTGGAGATGATATAGGACCGAGTAAACTAGCCATGTCTAAGTATGCAGTTGGTGGCAGTAGTGATCTCAGTTTGACTTGTGAAGGTGTTACAACTACTGTAGGTCTTGGCCAACGTGGATGTCTCAGTGAAAAGTCAAGCGACTCCGGAGTTAGTTCATCAAGCATCAGTTCAGCTCCTCCACCACGAGACAAAATTTTAGTTACTGCAATTGTTGATTCTCCAACAAAAAATTTTAGCAACTTTGTACGTGGTTCACCAACATCACAAAATTCTGTAACAAAAGGTCAAAATGATTCTAGTTATCAATAGAATCATGCACAAATCCATAAACTGTACATTGATACATAATGAACGATGAATTAATCAGAACAATTTAATAGATCAATTTAGAAATACAGTTAAGTACGAATATGAGAAAATGTGTTAGCTGGTCTGATTCAAAAATAGAATTTATTATAATACTAATCTTTAACATATATTTAAAAATTTCGAAAATCGCATTTATTAATATAATGATTAATACTTGTAATTATTGCTAATATTTGTTTAATTAATTTATTATTTTTACAAAAGCTTTTTTCCATACGAATGGTCACAAATTTATAATCATTTATCGATACATACTTTAACGATAAAAATAACATATAAGTTATACTTAGTGTTAGTATTTTTTCACAATTTTTTATTCAAGTGCTACATTTATTTAAAAATTAAATATTTTAATATATATGTGCATCAAAAAATATTCTACAACCTTTTCATATGAATATATATATATATATATATATATATATATATGTTATTTTCGTTAACATAAGAAATTAAAGTAACAATTATCAAATTTTTTTGGTCTTTCAATAAAAATTTTGGACGAATTCACGATCGAGAATTTATTAATGAATATCAATATTTTTTTTATTCGAAATTCAATCAAATGATGCAATTGTCAACATGAACATTTTCTTTTAAATTTTGTTATGCTTTTAATATATTAAAAGTAGAGAAGAGTTTCTATAAGCCATTATGTATCAATATGTGGAGGATAAAAATTTATTAGTAAATGTAATGAATAGGCATGATCTGCTAATTCATTTTAACTTGTTCATATAATACTATTTATTAATTGATGGCAATATGAATGAATTATTAAGCCATAATAATTCAATTATAGGCGATACGAAGTTAATTAAGTAAAACAGAAAATCCAAAAAAGAGAGCGAAATAGTGAAGTAAAATTCTATAGTGATTCTCTCTGTTTTATGTGTAAGATATTTATTACAAATATCACGAGACCAAAGGGTCATTCCTCCGTTACAATGGATTTATCCTTAAAAATCATGAACTGCCAATAGTAGCGCTCAAATTTTATTCCATAAAATATTTTCTATTATTATTATCATGAATATTAATGTTAAAACTGTAAATTAAAAATCTTGGATTTTGATATTTACTTTTAATATTTTTGAAATTTAATCATTCTTACAATTTGATTTTACTTGAAATTAATTGGAAGTTAATCTGATTGGAAAACTTAATGTTATAATTTGCATCGATAGCATGTAAATTTGTATATTAATTATCGGAGTCATCAATTTACACTTTAAAAATGAATATATGAAAATGAAGCAAATAAAATATAACTACTTAAAAAAATTGTAAATAATTTAAAAATATCATAAAAGTGTTTTTTATCAATTCAACTTTGCCAAAACTCAAGACTAAATTATATATTTAAGATAGAACTAAAAATAAATTAAAAATAAAAGTAACAAACTTTATACATCAAAGGATAATAATTAAATATATTCATGTACAAGAATGTTGATTCTTATACACAATATACCAATGTATAGTGTAACAATCTGCTAGATATGAATGTAATCAACGATCTTGTAAATACAACATGGCAGTAATGATCCAATCATAATCAAAATCATTAATATTTATCATTGTATGTTTTAATTATATCTATTTGTCAATAAGAAGATAAACTTGAAGTGAAAACATGATTTTTAATAATTCATTTAGTTATAATATTATTTAAAAACGTCCGATTTAAATAAAATATTTATTTTTTAATGTTAAAATGAAATTACATTTTTTTACTGATAATTGATCATACAATTATGTTGGTTTATACTAACTATTTGGCTAAATAAAATATGCAACGAGACGTATAATTATATCAATAAATATTCGTTCTCAAAAATTGACTAAACGAAAAACATATTAAATTTTAGATATTAACAACTTTTTTATTGAAGAAACTATTAATTTCAGCATATCAAGGGAAAAGCAATAGGTAGTCTAAGAAAGTGATAATTTAAATTAAATCAAATAACATTCCCATATTAATGGATATTTGACTGATGGATTCTCGTGGTGTTTCTGTAAAATATCCGTTCCACTGATCATTGCAGTGTAGAAAAATAATTATAATGTTAATTAGTGACAAGTTTATGAAATAACTATTAAATAGACATAATAGTGATACTATTAACTCGACAAAAACGATGTAAACCGCAACTTTTTGAAGACATTTATTTACTTTGATAGTCTAACTGGTAACGATCATGTTGGATAAAGTTATCCGAGTTATTTATTTGAATTATCTTCAATGAGCTTCTCTAGATGAGAATGACAATTAATTATTAATGAGGCTGAAAGTCGAGTTTTAACTATAAATATGACTCTGAGAGTTCTATATATCAACGCAATCAAAATGACTTTAATGTTTTGAACTCGAATTATGTAAACGGTCTAGTCCATTATAAATCAACTTAAAATTGTACATAAAACATCCAAAAAAAACATTTTCAGAGATGCCTCAAAATGCGACTCGGTAAATTTCATAGGCTGATTTTATAATTACATATTCATTGCGGGGCTAGAGGTTATTATAATACATTTTCATTCTTTGTATGGTCTCAACAATAATTGTTATAATTTATTGACTGTGACTAGAAATAAAAAAAACTGAAAAACTATTCATTTATTACTTTATTTAATTCTCTACTTTTTTACTCTCAGTCATGAAATCTAAATGAAAAGTTTATGACATAAGTAAAATAATTTAATTCAGTACATTTTTATGTGTATTAAATTTAATTACTAATTCATCAGCAATATTATGAAATTATCAACAATTGTATTGTCTAAGTTGTCGAACCTTATTACAAGTAAATATAAAACATCATAAAAGATATTTGATATTATACTTTCTTACATGATAGAAATTAACGATCGATAACTTCAATTCACAAATTCAGTATAATTTATGATACGTACCAAATTTTTTTTTTGGAATTCGCATTTTTAAAAAACTCTTAGAAATATTTTATGTGAATTACAACAGACTCACGACAGAAACAGAAAACGGGAGAAAGAGTAAATGAAATTTCATCTAAACATGAAATATCTTCAGGCGGTAATCGAGACATTGATAAGTAACTCGCATGGCTGATTTAGATAAAAGTATTCGTTTTCAATCGTGAAATCTTTAATTGCATCGTTGGTAAACGATTTGAGGCAAAAAGCATGTAAAATGTTTTTCCCTTTGATTATCTTTTTTTTATACTTTTTTTAAATTATTAGTACCTATATTCATGGTGTTACGAACTTTTCTTGACTTTGGAGTGATGTAATACTGATAGTATTCCTACCCAGTTTTTTGAATCTTATAATAAATTTTTGTTCAATACATATAGTATATTTTAAAATTATGGTATTAATTATAGCCTTATATAGATATTTGAAAATCTCTATGGTTCATATATATGATCAAAAAAATACATAAATATATATTTATAATTTATCCATTATTGTTATTAAAATTAATTAAAAATTAATAAAAAAATGTTTGTTTTCTATCAATTACTGAAGAAAGAAAAACGTGTTACATTTAACCAAATTTATTGCTATTACAATATTCAATAAAATTCGCTAACTTCAAAAACATCCAAGATGAAGAAATCATAAAACTGGAACATCTGAAGTCATCCAAGCTTACTCAGCATTTCCCAATCTACTACAATTTCTGTCCTAAATTCCCCCTGAATTTCCTCAATTTATGGGCCATTTTACTGCTATAAAAACCGTCAAAAATCATCACTCAGGGGTTTTTCTTCTGATCAGCAACCTAGACGGTGACACGCAGGCTTGATTGCCCCCGCGCTCGCTGACCACGTCGCGTTAGTAAGTTGAGAATTCTATTAAGATTTTTCTCGGTATCTTAACGAAGTGTTTGTTAACTGAGGCGTGGGTTCTCGTGAGATAAGATTTCATTGCGACGATTCCTTTCTAAATAACAAATTCTTCTAGTATTACATATGTTAGAAGAGAAAAGCCCTGTTAGCCCAAGATCCCTCGTTTAGCCTTTGGCCGCTACCAACCCATTTAATTAATTCTTCAAATTAATTGATAATAAATATCTTCGGACATAACAAACGACATTAGTATTGTCACAAAAAAAATTATAATGTATATTATATGAATAATGACTAAAATAGAAAAAAAGCTATTAGCGAGATTCGAACCTGTTACCAAAAGGTTCACGAACCGATATCTTACATTTGAGTTACCGCTATAATTATTGTATATGAAAGTAAAATAACATTACAGTATCAAGTAAGGTGGGTTTGCCTTATGGAACACAGAAGAAAGGCTGCTGGGACAATAGGTCTACTATTGTCTAAGTAAAGTCCTTGCTTCCCCCGTCCGAAAGGCGGAAATTGAGTATCTCACCTACTAGAGCATAACTCTGGGGAATTATAATTCTACTCTCTTCGCGATGGCGTTTCCCGGGACGCGTATACCTGCACCTTAAAACAGGCACAGGGATACACGTAACAACACCGAAGCCTTACGACATACCACTACGAGACTACGTTACGTTCCGTGGACTCTTGCAACGCTCTTCGCACTGTCAGTATCGCATCTACCGTTAATCGCCCTTCCATAAATCCATATTGGTGGTCTGAGATGTTTCCTTGTTTAAGGACGCTAGTTGAAAGACGAATTTTTATAAGTCTTTCGAAGATTTTGCCTAGTACTGATTGAAGACATATAGGTCGATATGATTTAGGGTCCGCTACATCTTTGTCGGGACTCTTTAGGAGCATACGAATTGTTCCCTCCTTCCAAGCCCGAGGAAAGACGCCTTGAGACAATTATTCGTTGAATAATGCCAGAAATTTTTCTGGAAGGTACGTGATTGCACGTTTAACGACCTCTACTTCCAGCAAGTCTAGTCCTGGAGCTTTTCCATTCTTAAGCGTTCGGACGACTTGTTTGAGTCCTTTGTTGAATGGCTCTGCGTCATCTGTGTTGTCAACTTTTTCGGCTCGAATCTTGTCGGCTGCAATCTTGTATACCACACCCCATTTTTCCTCGTTTCCGTGGGTTGTGACGAAGTTTTTCCAGCTCTTTGTTTTCGTCTTTTTCATTGCTTGGGAGTACATTCTTATCTGCTGGCGGTATCGGAGTCTCGCTGTCCTAATTCGGTGGGTATCTGTACCAAGCTTTTTGGTACGTTGGAATCTATTGCGCAGCCTATATACACTACTCTTTGATCGGGACAAATGGTTTTTTTACCGAGGATTCGGTTTCCTTGGTGCTTTACGTCGCGGCATGGACTTCTCGCGAAGATTTGTTAACTTATTTGCAAGGGTGTCAGCAAATCCTTC